AAGAATGAGGGCTTATGAAGCTTGATGCAAGTTGGATGTGACCATTATTTGCGGGGTTAGGTGACGTTCTAAGGCTGGGTTACACCATCTTACATTAACTAAAACAAATGTCAAAAGTCTGTCAAACTCCATACAAAATGACAGGTTATAGTTACGGTTAAAGTTAAGGTGATGCAACTCAGCCTAATGAGGGCTATCGTTTTTATATTTAACAGTTGGCACCCCTGGCGATTGACCGGACCTTACTCTACAGTGGCGCCATCTTGATGAGTGCAAATGCGATAGTCCTCCTACCACTTTCGCGCTCACCAGTTGGTGCCACTGTCTTCGCTACTAGCAAGTGACAGGACCTTACTCTACAGTGGCGCTAACTGGTGAGCGCTAAAACGATAGTCATTATGTAAACTAGTCATTTAGGAATCGAATCTAGAACGTAGTGAGGGTCTAAGTCTGAAGACGGACCGAAAAGTTGTCTAGCCAGATGAGGTGGACTGACGACCTGGTAAAGATTGCGGGAAGCGCCTGGATGTGGGCACAAGACCAGTGGCTAAAAGAAACAAACGATAAAGAAAATGAAGTAATTTACTTGAAATTCCTTCACAGATTACCTACATTCATTAACGAGTTAAACGTACCTAAACAATTTTTATCACAATAATTATCAATTTCGTTTGACCTCTATGACATAAAAATGAATCAATTAAAATAGTTTATCTGTGTTAACAACCGTCTGATGATCCCTACTAATATTATAAATGCGAAGTTATGTAGAGTTACAGACTCTGTATGTCTGTAACGCCTTCACGCCTAAACAACCTAAACCAATTTTGATTTAAGGCATAGAGGTAGTATAGCTACCTAGTTTGAATTTGAAAGAAAGAAAGAAACATTTATTGCCCTGGAAATCACAAAAGACAATAGAGGTAAATAAAAAAGCAAATGACACAGAGGTGATATAAAACACATACAATGGAAGAGAAAGTAAACTGAGCAGTGCCACCCTGTCGCACAGCGATGCCCATCGCAATGGGACCCCACTTAGCATATGCCGTGGCCCCCGGTGAGGGAGGCCACGGCGCTGGTTTTCAGTGTGCTCCATGCCCAGTGGGAGTCACGGACACTAACCCATACTGCATAAAATATACATACATAAATAATAATAATAGTTTCGGGAAACATCATGGGATAATTTTTATCCCCGTTTTTGAATCAGAGACGCACGCGACAAAGTTTTTCTATTAACATTTTACGCGAGCGAAGCTAAGCTTACAAAAAATTACCTAAGAAAATGTTATTTTTGCTTCGCATAGATATTTTTGTCTTTTCAATTAGAATACTTTGCGGCCCACTTCCACTAGTGTCCTTCGCAAAACTTAATAATTCTGTCATATCTGACCTACTTGACAGTGCTAGAAATTAACATCTGTTACAATTCGCAGACATTAATACGCATATTGTGTTTAAATATTACATTACCTACGCGTACATTACAGTTTGTTTGAAAAAAGAAAATAGCGAGTAACCTATTTAGTTTTTGGTCGCTTTTTCTTTAACTGTAAAGTAAAAACAAAGGAAAAATTGGATTATAATAATCATCAGATCATTATTTTTAAAACTCTACTGCAAGAGATCCATCTACAAGGCGGACCGACGACATCATAAAGGTAGCAGGAAGGCGCTGGACGCAGGCCGCTACCAACCGGTCAACATGGAAATCGTGGATCGGGGGAGGCCTATGTTCAGCAGTGGACGTCCTATGGCTGAAATGATGATGATGACTGCAAGAGACCGATCTTCTCTACTAAATTATAAGTCCTACTAATACCTGCCTTTAATCTACACTTCCCACGCTAGCCAGACGGTTTAATAAAGAGTCCTGAATCTTTTATTTACAGCATAATCATTGTATAGCCTGACCAGGAACATAAAAACCCTCGCCATGTTGCAGAAAACTAATGGTACTAATTTCTTTTAATGGCAACAGTAACTGAAAACTTCATTGACATGTCACCTTGCATGTCAGTCTATTGCTGTCAAAGTGTAAACAAACTTTATTTTAAATACCTTCTCATTAAATAATGTTAAGTATTGCAAGTGTATTGTCGATGATACTGAATAAACATTTTTTCTTTCTTCTTTCTTTCTTTCTTTCAAATGTGCGCAATTGGTTTTATGAATTAAATTGCTAAAATATTTTTATAGTCGTGAAAGAAAAGTGGTTCACAATGTGTTAAAGTATTTGTCGAAGAGAAATACTAAGGGTTCGGAGTTCGGACAATATTTTCATTGAATAATGTTTCCGACAAAGGTTGTCAAATTGACTGACATGTTTATCGTATAGTACAGTCCACTATGAAAATTAGCTGTGGTTTGTTTCAACTACCTATTTTAAAAATTTTGTCACTTTCTAAGTGTTGAATTTTATGGGATTGGGAAAGAAGTACCGAGTTTGAAGCGTTCATGAGCAGACATTGCAGTTGAATATTCACGTTCTGAATTTGATTATTGATGAATAATAAAATAAATCTACTAGCTCGATTGATGGTTTCATTTAATTTATTTAAATCAGGTAACCTATAATAATATTTTTTCGTTAATTTATGAAAATATCAAATTAGCCCGTAATCCTGAATCCTGATACATAAAGTTAGCCTATTAATTTAACACAGGTACGACTGTACTCAGTGTTGCACTATCAAATGCAATTGACGCGCCTCTATGCCAGGGTTTTTATGTTCCTGGTCAGGCTATAAGTAATGCAATGAAACAACTATTACCAGCTGTTAGTGAATCAACAGATGAAACAAATGAATGAACACCGCGATGTTCTCAATCGTAAAATAGACCGTTAAAAATAAAAGAAAGTAACGCACCAATAAATATTCGCAAAGAGTTTGTAATCTGCCGTAAATCTGCGTAATGTAATCAAAACTTCTTATCGGCGCGAAGCCAAGTGGGTCAATGTACGCAGAGAGTAGGTATCGCCAGATGCGTCACTCGGTTTGTTTTTATTTAAATCACTTTATTCGCATTCGATGCGAAATCGCCGTATAAATAAATCTGAACGCGTAATATCGAATCATCACAATCCAATTCGCACGCGAATTTGCTTTAATGATCATTTCACCTAGTTTTTGGACGTAAGCCTATTTTATTTATAGGTGTTTTCCTAATTTTATTTTTAAGTTTACACTAAACTAGTTATGAACATCAATAACATTTGGTTTCATGCTAAGTGTATGTTTAATTTTTATTTTATTTGGGAAACATGTAGATTTTTTGTCCCTTTTTTGTCGAAACTTTTGCGAAATTGACAGAGTAAATAATACTTTAAGAAATTGAGGAATGTCACCAGACATTTACTTGATTTTTCACTTCTTTCGTTAGTTCGTTTCAGCCAAATGATGTCCACAGCTGAACAAATGCCTCGTTCAAAGCTTTCCACAACGATTGGTCCTGCGCTGCCCGCATTTTTCACTTACTATTCATAAACCCTGCTGTACAAGGAAATACACGAAAATCTCTGCACACGAGTAACGAACCAATTAGTTGTTTTTTATCTTATCATTCGCCTACCTTGCGTGTGTTTATCCTACTTTTTTATCAAGTTCACAAAACAATTTAACAGATAACATCTGCGAAGAAACGACCTTTACCTACAATTCTACTATAATATTTACGCATTTGCTAAAGTTTGTGAAATGACGTGATTATTATAAAAATAACAAAAACGTTTCTATGCGCCACTTTATCCAATCGACATAGCATTAGAGCACTTGCGTAGGCTATAAAATTTTAAACTTTCGCGTTCCATTTCAACTAAAATAGTGAAATACGGGTCTTATTAACGCGATATTTTTATATGAGTTACTTTACTCATGGCTTGACTCATATAACACTAAGATACAACATAAAAATATGTAACTCATAAAAATGACGCGTTGAGACCCGTGTTTCTCTATTTTACTTGCGTAGGCATTATTCAATAGATATTTGCGTCAAAGTGAAAGGTGTAAGCACTTGCCCTTCTGATTCTGACGTGCTTAATCTTTGACCCAAGTTTAACGACAACATAAACCACTGGTAGATAACACAAAGTGTTCTCACTAGCCAATAATTGTTTTGTGAAAGTCGCCCTCCTGTTCCGAGGTTTGTTATCGAACTGCCTATTATTTTAAGTTATGCATTTCTCTAATAGGCTCTGCTCTAATACTAGTTTATGGTCGTAGGAACAGCCGGCAATTTAGCTCCTATAACAACTATAAAATGCCACAGTGTATAGTGGGGCTCAAAATTTCTTTGTGGAAATTGTGTAAGTTAAAAGATTTTAACTTCATCATCATCATTTCAGCCATAGGACGTCCACTGCTGAACATAGGCCTCCCCCAACGATTTCCATATGGCCCGGTTGATAGCGGCCTGCAACCAGCGCCTTCCTGCTACCTTTATGATGTCGTCGGCCGTCGGTTTTAGCTTTTTGTTTGAAAATTTTCAAATAAATTTTATGATGATAAGGTTACAATAAAAGTCGCAAATAGGTTTTAAAACGTTATCTTGAACAGTTCGTAATTTAATAGCCAGACGCGTGTTCTGGCTGGGAGAGACGAAAAGAATCTAGGTAGAGCCAGTTTCAATAAAATTCTATTGAAGTACGAGTCCTGTATATGACAAAACCGAATAGCAAATTCGAAAGGATATTCGTGTGAATGTTTATATTAAAATGTATATATAAAAACGGGATCATGCGAAAAATTAGATGTCGCAGAAAGAGCCCTTTTTTTCTTGGCTTTCGCGGTTTGCGTTTAGCCACAACGGTGAAAGAGCCCTTAACTATTCTTGTTTTTGGTGACATCATCATTTTCAGCCACAGGACGTCCACTGCTGAACACAAGCCTCCCCCAATGATTACCACGTCGCCCAGTTGGTAGCGGCCTGCATCCTGCCTTCCTGCAATTTTTTTGTGACATGTTTATTAATTTATTTATTTATCCTTGTTCCAGTATATACTTCTTGATGCTATGCGTGGCGCTGGGCGCAGTGGTGGCGTATCGGGGAAACGACCTTCCCCCGGGACCGTACTGCGGGACTCCGGGTCGGCAGCAGTGCTGCGACAACCGGCAGGATGCCTGCTCTCACAGGATACTTGGTGAGTCCAGCTGTGGGAAAAATAGGATGGATCCTTAGAGCCAAAGCACATGATGCGTTGCGGCGCGTACGCAAAGATTTTGCCGCACCGCTCGTGCCACATTTTGCCACAGATATATGTAGATCGTTTCATCACGAAGACGCGCCCCACCATTCTTCCGCTTACGTTTGAGTGTTATCGGTTCACGTTAAATCATCCACGAGTGCACTACGCACACTACAATAATGACGCTCGGATTGCTCGGATCAAACTCCGCGCACCCCGCGCTTCACTCGACCAAAAATTGATGGGGCGCGTCTTCGAGGATGAAACGCATTTCACCTTAGGCTCTCAGCTTAAATGCGAATCCTATTATTGAATGCGGTTAAATTACTTACTGGTAAAATGATAAGGCTAAGCTTTAGGTTCTTCTTTAGCTCAACAGCTCTTCCTTTGATGACCTGGAAAAAGACCTGCTCATAGTTAAAACTAAGTGACTATTCTGTTACGAGAACTTTCATTTGTTATTTTCTTGGTATAACTTATTAAACGACCCGGTCAAGTTACCGCGCGCACCTAGCTGAAATGCAACTCTCCCTTGCACTCACCCGCACACCACCCCGGGTTCGCCCCGTTCCATACCAGAGCGTCGATGTGACGTCACAGCGCCAGGTACGCAGTTAAATCGACCGAGTTGAAATAATCTGTACTAATATTATAAATGCGAAAGTAACTCTGTCTTGCTTTCACGCCTAACTGTCTTGCTTTCACGCCTAAACCACTGAACCGATTTTGATGAAATTTTGCATAGAGATGGTTTGAGTCCCGGGAAAGGACATAGGATAGTTTTTATCCCGATTTTTTTATCCGGAAACAGGGACGCGCGCGATTGTTTTTCTGTGACAGACAAAATTCCACGCGGGCGAAGCCGCGGGCAGAAAGCTGCATATTGGAAGGCAATATTATTATCTAGAATATCGGAAACGAGCACATTATCAGCTGTTTTCTAGTTCAGCTGAGGTGACCTTGCTCGATCCTAAAGCAAACGAATGCGTAAGCCGTCTGAGCCAGTTTCGTAACCTGCTGATACGAAGTAAATAATTTCTGTGTGAGTGGTGACAATGGACTCTGTTAATTCGGTAGACCTGGGTTTGAGTCACAGATGGGGCACAAAATTAATGTTTGCTGTATTCAAAGTTACTTAGTGTGTCGCATTAAATGTATTTACTTAAATGTATGGCGGTGTCAACCAACAAGGGACGATAAACAACAGAAGACCAACGTCTTGACATATCCCTTTCAGTCCCTTTGCGAGCAAGTTACGATAAATGCTGAGCCCAGGTCCCGGTCGGTACAGAATTTCCTAGTACTCATCTTTGTCTAGTGTATTTTCTAATTTTTTAATAGAACCATTAACTATAGTGAATACTTCTTTACAGACACTCTTTGCTACTGCGACCAGTTCTGCAACAGGACCTCGTCGCCCGACGATTGCTGTCCGGACTACGAGGAAGTGTGTCTTGGGATCAAGCCCACACCACCACCGCAACCGCTCCAAGAGTCTTGCAAGATGAATGGGAAGACCTACTTCCCATTGGAAGGCGCCGATACCACGATGAAAGACTGCAACACTTGGTGAGTAGAAAGTAGTTAGGCCATATGATAACAGATGGCGCTGTTTCGGTATTTTGGGCGTTAGTTGCACGTGTTGGGCAATAGATGGCGTTGAACTGTGCGATGTAATCGATTTAAGTAGATATCGACTATAAATTGACTGTAATTGGTTATAGGCTGCTAGTCTTAAACGCATATTTGGCATTAACATGATTATAGCAGCATCATTGATACACTTTCAAGAGGAAAAAAACACAATATTTACGATTCATCTCATGTATTTCTTTAGAGCAAGGTCAATGGAATGGTTTGACCTGAATTTGTATGTGTTTTCGGCAACGCGACAATAATTCACTAGCAAAGACATGTCACGTAAGAATGTACGATAAATAATGATAATTATAAATAGCGTCGTTTCATTTTACGTTTACATTGAAAAATTGTTTTCGACCCAGTTTTCAAGTTGACATATTTATGATTCGAGTTAAAGGCATAAGTGTGCCATGGTCCTGAAGGGTCAGAAAAAGGAGCATCATGATTCATTTACATAATGTATTTCCAATTATAGACTACATTTCCAGTCTGACTTAAAAAAAAGTTTGACTGTATCTTTCATATTAAATACTGTAAAAAGTTAGACGAAAACTTCAGCTGTATTTCCTACTGTACCTAAACACTTACGACTTACGTCGTCGTTTTAGAATAGAAAACACTTCTTTTGTTTTCGCCAATGCTTAGAGCAAAGTAACATAATTAAGAAAGATTCCATTATCAGTAATCGTTTTGTCTCTCTCATTTTGATCGATAAAGCTTGCATCTTTGTCTACGGCTGCTCTGTCTAACGCTCTTCCAGCCGGGCTAAGATGCATAAAATATGTCATCATCATCATCATCTCAGCCATAGGACGTCCACTGCTGAACATAGGCCTCCCCCAATGCTTTCCATGTTACCCGGTTGGTAGCGTCCTGCGTCCAGCGCTTTCCTGCTACCTTTATGATGTCGTCGGTCCACCTTGTGGGTGGACGTCCCACGCTGCGTTTTCCGGTACGCGGCCTCCACTCCAGAACCTTGCTGCCCCATCGGCCGTCAGTTCTGCATACCTACTGTGTGCCCTGCCCATTGCCACTTCAGCTTGCTAATCCGTCGGGCTATGTCAGCGACTTTAGTTCGTTGTAGTTTAGTTTAAAATATGTGAGGTCATAAAATATATGAGGTCATACAATCTTATCGATGATTTTAGACGACAAATGTATGGGCTTATCGTGTAACATCGATAACAGCTTATCGCGGCTTGCAGTCTAGGCCTACAGACCGAGTCTATTACAAATCTCTGTCGCATGACAACCAATTCTTCGAACCCAATGGATTCAGCCTTGGATCTATTAAAATATTTTGTTTACTTTTATTACTATGACACAGTTGCGTTCATTTTTGATCGATCACCGAATACGGGGTTGATTTATTCGTGTTATCTATCACTTTCTTTAATTTAGGCCAGATTTGTTAGGCGATCTCTTGTCTAGACATTTTGTTAATTTATTGGTAGCTTCATGAGTCTGAGTAGGTAATTTAGGTAATAAAAATTTGCAAGTAATGAGTATTTAAACTTTTCTTTTTGGACTTCATGGCGGGAAAGTAAAGCGCCATGTTTAGCATAGCATCTTTTCGTCCAAAATACCTTAATGCTTCAAGATGAAAGTCTATAACCAGTGTGTGTTACCATATGTGATGACATACGGCTCCGAAACGTGGCTTCTCACTAATGGGCCTCATAAAAAAGCTCAAAGTTGCACAGCGTGCTATGGAAAGGGCTATGCTCGGTGTTTCTTTACGAGATCAAATCAGAAATGAGGAGATCCGTAAACGAACTAAAGTCCCTGACATATCCTGACGGAATAGCAAGCTGAACTGGCAATGGGCAGGGCACATAGTACGCAGAACTGACGGCCGATGGGGCAGCAAGGTTCTGGAGTGGAGGCCACGTACCGGAAAACGCAGCGTGGACGTCCACCCACAAGGTGGACCGACGACCTGATAAAGGTAGCAGGAAGACGCTGAATGCAGGCCGCTACCAACCGTGCGATGTGGAAGTCATTGGGGGAGGCCTATGTTCAGCAGTGGACGTCCTATGGCTGAGATGATGATGATGATGATGATAATGAAAATCCACGATTGTAGCAAGCAGTTAAAAATCGCAATAAATCAATGAAACTGATTGATTTTGTTTGTTTACTGTTCATTACAATGCATTGCAGTAGAATTGTATTGTAACCCACCATTTTAGAGGGCGTGATCTTGTACAATGATGCAGTGTTTATTTTCGAACCCAGGTGCGCACGAGGGCTGCCAATAGCTCAGTTTTTATTTACCTAAATACTAGATGATGCAGCTATGAATCATCGAGATTCTTTTCTGTGGCTCTATGAATAGCCTGATGATTGAGTGGACTGACTGGAGACCTTTTCTAACGGTCACGAATGACTTTTGTAGTAAAAATGTGCGTCCTTGTCTGCAATTTTGTGCATTTTGCAACGAATATGTATTTTTTATATGTTGTGATGTGTCATTTGTATGTTTTTTAACTTACAAGACTTTTAGCCTTTATTCAGAGATTCAATGATAGATGGATTCTTTGAATTAAGAATTTATAAAATTCCGTATCCTGGTGTGAGATTAGCCTACAATAACCATCGCCTAAGTAATTAAAATGCTTAGCGAATAGAGTCGTTTCTCAAACTAAATTTTAAATAAACATCTTGAAAAAATATAAAATCCAGTGTCTAAGTAGCTCAGTTGGAAGAGCAGTTTCCCGGCAAGCGGAAGGTCGGCAAGGGGTTCGAGTCCTGCCTTAGACAGTTCGATTTTTTCAAGTTGTTTATTTAAAACATCACCTAAGTGTATTAATGACCAGTTTTTGTATTGCCGCTTTATCATTCGAACATTGTAATTACAGATCAGGGCAAGTAATTAGTCAAAATGCCCACTGTAATCACTCTATTGTTAGTTTGACTTTTGTGAAACTTTATCTCAAATGTCAAGTGATTTCACGGGCTAAAATACATTTCTTGGTAGAGCACAGCCCTATAAACTATCGCCCATTCCGCTGGCGCGACGCCATACCGTGGAATAACTAGTGGATGTTCGAATAGCGATTAATAAATTATTGTAACATTTGTAGATGTTGTTACACAATTTGTATATAATCGTTACATTGCTCTAGCAATTTAAGCTACTATTAGCCGAACGATAGCGGCCTGCATCTACCGGGCCGCTACCAACCGTGCGATGTGGAAGTCATTGGGGGAGGCCTATGTTCAGCAGTGGACGTCCTGTGGCTGAAACGATGATGATGATGAGCCGAACGGTGAATGGTGTGGAATAACCGACTCAACATCCGAGGAACGCGGGTTTGAACCCCGATGCCACTCGATTATTGTGGTGAGGCTAATCGACTATTTGTGGTGAGGCTATACTAGACTATTGTGGTTAGCCCACTCGTAACACAAGCATATTTAGCTTAGTCGTAAGGTTTTCAGGTTTCAGAGGTTGTTAATGGGACTAGGCTTGACTAGTGATTGTAATCAATTATTAAATTTCACAGTACCTTTCTTCTCCACTAAGCTCTGTTGCGCAGGCCGCGTAGTTTTCTTTTGGAAAATGGAGCGAAGTTTACCACTTTACTCTGTGAAAAGCTACAAAAAGCAAGTGCGAAACGATTTCTGAAACAAAACTGCCACAAATGTTACTTTATCTAATTGATGCTTATTTTAATGTGAATAAAAGTTAATTATTTTCTGAAAATTAGCTTTTAAAAAGCGCTTTTACATGTTTACCTAGTGATAAAAGAGATAGGAGTCGCAAAGTCGCCGGTTCTTATGTGTAGAGTCTAAACCCCGGAGATAGGAGATAATTATTTCAGTGTGTTAACTGCAAAATTATGAGTTAACCCATAAATATTTATGCACGAGTGATAGTCTAAAACGACGTACAGTCGGCGTCAAATAGTTCGTGACACCCAAAGTGGCCAATAAGTTCGCAACACGTCTTTGTTACAATTGGAATAAGGTTGTATTGCCAACTTTGTGGCCACTTTGGGGGACGCTGACTGTCCGTGGTTCTAGCGACCGCGTAACATATTTGGCACCTTTAGTGTCGGATTTATTGTTTGTTATTTTGGGACACGACGATCCATTTTATGTTGTTTCTGGTGTTTTGTCCACGTGTTCAGATATTTATATGGATTTCAGAATTTTATGCCGTAGTCATAATTTTATTTCTGAAAAACATAATTTTATTTAGATGTGCGATGTGCGTAGTAGATAATGTTCGTCAATGACCAATCCATGCCGGACCGAATACGGACATGACGTAATGTGGACAGGTAGACCGACGGTCTGGTGAGGGTCGCGGGAGGTGCCTGGATGCGGGCGGTGCAAGACCGGTCGTTGTGGCATTCCTTGAAGGAGGCCTTTGTCCAGCTGTGGATGACATTTGGCTGAAACGAACGAACGGCCAATCAATGAGTACCTAGTGAGTTGGACTGTCTCAGTTCGAAGTCTGATAGAACTTACTCCCAACTGGACTGATCCAGTTCCTCTGAAGCAATGGAAAATCAATCCTCAGTTTGAAGAGAATTTTAAGATTTTAAACCATCGTTCGATTTGCGTCTTGTCACTAATGGTGTCATTATGTTTATCACCAGGGTTGACCTCAGATTTTACGACCCACACGATATGAACGTAGTAAACTTCCTTCACGTATTTCATACTTCGTTCGTTTCAGCCAAATGACGTCCACTGCTGGACAAAGGCCTTCCATGACGATACTTAGGTACTTATTTCATACTTAACCATCCTACTAATTTATAAATGCGAAAGTTTGGATGTCTGGATGTTTGTTACTCTTTCACGCAAAAACTACTGAACGGATTTTGTTGAAACTTTACAGTATTATTGTTTATAAGGCTATAATTTATGACGATATGTGTAACTCAATTTCACGCGGGTGAAGCCGCGAGCAA